CCTAGGGGACAGTGATCATCACTTGATTGAATTCACTATCTGGCATAGGTTGGGAAGGATAACCAACAGGGCAGAAGTGCTAGACTTCAGAAAGGCCAATTTCAGTGTGCTCAGGAGATTCATTAGTGAGGCACTGAAGAACAGGAACATTGGTGAGACAGGATTCCAGGAAGGATGGTCATTTCTAAAGGAAGCAATCATACAGGCACAGAAGGAGACAATCCCACTGCATAGGAAAGGGGACAAAGGGGCCAAGAAACCCTTTTGGCTGAACAGGGGAATCCAGGAAAGCCTAGGGGCAAAAAGAGAGGCATATAGGTTGTGCATGCAGGGGGTAGCTACCAAGGCAGAGTATACCTACTTGGCCCACACTTTCTGGGAGGCAATCAGAAAGGTCAAAGCAGAAATGGAACTTAGGCTGGCAACAAAAATTAAAGACAACAAAATCCTTCTTCAGGTATATAGGGAGAAAAAAGAAGGTGTAGAGTAGCATAGAACTCCTACAGGACAAACCAGGGCAATTAGTGACAGATAGAGGGGACAAAGCTGAGCTCTTCAATGAGTGTTTTGCCTCTGTATTTCTGAACATGGATCAGGACAAATCTCCCAATTGGATCATAGACAGGCACCAAAGGGAAACCAGTCCACCAATTGTTAGAGCTGACTTAGTGAAGGGACACTTGGAGGGGCTGGATGTGTTTAAGTTGGCAGGCTCAGATGATCTTCATCCAAGGGTACTGAAGGAATTGGCCAGGAACATAGCAGAGCCAATGGCACAGCTATTTGAGCACTCTTGGTGCTCAGGTCAGGTCCCAGAGGACTGGAAAAGGACCAATGTGGTCCTGATTTTCAAGAAGGGGAGGAAGGAGAATCTGGGTAACTATAAACTGGTTAGTCTCACCTCTATCCTTGGGAAAATCTTTGAAAAAATTATTAAGGATCATATTTGTCCAGTGGGAAAAACAATGCTGAAGGGCAACAAGCATGGATTTATAGCAGGTAGATCCTGCCTTACTAACCAGGTCACAAAATGCTTAAATGCAGGAATCAAGGTAGATGTCATCTACTTGGATTTGAAGAAGGCCTTCGATACAATATCTCATCCTATTTTCACAGATAAACTGAGCAGCAGTGACGTAGATGATTACACGGTCAGGTGGGTGGCAAATTGGCTTAGTGGTCACACCCAGAGAGTGGTGGTGGATGGGTCAGTATTGACCTGGAAAGATGTGGGCAGTGGAGTCCCACAAGGCTCAGTCCTTGGACCTGTGCTGTTCAATGTCTTCATGAGTGACTTGGATGAGGGCATGGAAAGCATCCTGTCCAAATTCACAGATGATACCAAATTATGGGATAAAGTTAACACACTAGAGGGTAGGGAATGAATCCAAGCAGATCTGGACAGGCTGGAAAAGTGGGTGGAACAGAACAGGATGCAGTTCAACAAGAACAGGTGCAAGGTGCTGCACCTAGGGAGAAGGAATCACCAGCATGCTTAAAGGTGGGGGGAGGACCTTCTCAGCAGCACAGCACTGGAAAGGGATCTCGGAGTCATTGCTGAAACCAAGATGAACATGATTTATCAATGTGATGAAGTGATCAGTAAAGCTAATCACACTTTATCATGCATTAGGAGGTGCAAGACTAACAGGTCCAGGGAGGTGATACTTCCCCTCTATGCGGCACTGGTCAGGCCACAGTTCGAGTACTGCATCCAGTTTTGGGTGCCACACTTCAAGAGGGATGGGGACAAGCTTGAGAAGGTTCAGAGGAGGCCCACTCATATGGCTAGGGGCCTGCAGGCAAAGACCTACAAAAAGAGGTTGAGGGCTCTGGATCTCTTCAGCCTCCGCAAGAGAAGGCTGAGAGGTGATCTTGTGGCCACCTCCAAATTCAATGGAGGTGGGAGTGGGGGTGCAGCAAAGAATAGGCGATGCTTTGTTTACCAGGATACCCCGTGGAGTAACTAGGAACAATGGCCACAAACTGATGGAAACCAGACTTAGGTTAGACATCAGGAAGAACTTTTTTATGGTCAGGGTAGCCAGAATCCGGAATGGGCTTCCAAAGGAGGTGGTCCTCACCCCCACCTTGGGGGTCTTTAAGAGGAGGCTAGACATGCACCTGACTGGGGCAGACTGACCCCAGTGCTCTTTCCTGCCCAGGGCAGGAGGCCACACTCAATGATCTGCTAAGGCCCCTTCTCACCCAAACATCTATGCACTGTCCTCATCGCCTTCCACTCAGGAACAGGCTGCCTTGACCCTGTGGACAGTGCAGGAAGGCGGCAGGAGTGACCCCTGAGTTGTGGAGGGCCTCAGGGATGGATGGATGTATTGCTGCAATGTGTTATGTAGCAAACTATAATACATTGGGATGTGTTTTAATTCACTACGTAACAAAGTCATTTAATTTGCAATGTGCTTCTGCACATGTACAGTGTGACAAAATTAAAGTCACACTGCCAAATGTGTAGAGTGTGATGAGATTAAATTGCTAAAAAAGGGCAATTAAACCACTAAAAAGGGTAATTTCATCACGTGTCCAAGCACCGTTATTAACTGAACCACCAGAGGTGACAAAGTACTTGAGGGGCATTTATAGTAGACTGACAGCCTCTCTATCTTAAAATAGAGAAAAATTGAATGTGGGTGATAACTACAGTGTTTCAGATACAAAAAGAAGCCTTAAGTAAAAATACAGACAGTATCAGTGCAGTCTTGTGAAACCTCTTAAGTGTTCTGCAACAAAAACACGGAAAAGAATAGTTGATTCTTACCCTCTAATTTAAGTAATCCTGGTCACCAGTGCCGCACCTTACCCACCCACTCACAGACCTGTTTCACCTTGATTTCAGCAGAGATTCTCATGAACTCTAACATTAGAGATCCACCTTTACACCACTTGAAAGATGGAATGACATGATTCAGATCATCTGCAGTCTAAATCTGCAGATAGTTTAGGAAATGTCACCTCTGAAATATGTGACCAAAACTCAACTGGAGGGAAGATGTGATGTTTGGCAAAATCATGCAATTATAGGGAATGCATGATTAAACATCCAGGCTAGAAAACGACTGTTCATCAAGGAAAAACTGGGATCTCAATTTCTACTGATACAGCACAGAATACACAAAAACAAAACAACTCCCCTTCCCCGCAAATAGGACAATTAATAGACAGACCAAGATGTTTTCAGCATCCCAAGGACCTATATTAGCCTACTCTATGAAGCAACTTTATTTATCAGCTTTTTATCAAGCCCCAAACAGTGCTTTTCCGTGGCAGTTCAGGGGGAAAATATCACTATCTGGAATTAGTGACTAGTGCTTTTGCTGTGCTGACTTTTTGTCAGGGAGATGTGTCTGGTTGCAAGATTTGCTTATCACCTATGTCGACATTGCACCATAGCAGAGATGCCATTCTGTAGTAGCTACGTGCTGAACCCGAGCAGTGGCGTAGCTGTCCTCTCAGTTCTGAAAGTAGCATTTCATCTCCAGATTTGGACACTGTTGCCATCATGCTTTCTTAAGTGACTAACAGAGCCAGATCTTTTGCTAATGAAAACTGGCACAAACCTTTCTATTTCAGTGGAGCTACACCAGCTGGGAATTTGGCCTATAACAGAGCTAAACATAGGGCTTGTGGGATGGATCTGGCCTGCAGTGCCATTTAATATGGCTCATCAGGCTACCAGTGGGCAATGGGAAGCTGGGAAAACCAGGGAGCATAACCTGCTGCAAGAACTGTGCAGATATACATTTCCTTGCCCTGTGGCTGCTTGCCCCTGCCACTGTTGGACTCTTCCTGCTCCTGCCCACTGCAGTTGCCACTGGCCATGGATCTGGCCTAGGGCTGAATCTGAGTTTGACATCCCTGGCCTATAGCATATACACTTACTGACCAAGAAGAGTTTGTACTACATGTTTTTCCAACTCTCAGGATGAGAAAGCTGAATTTTAGGTGACTTTTGTAGCACGTTTTCAGTTTTAACATAATATTTTCAGCTTCCAAAATTTATGCTGAAAATGTTATGAATTTTCTAGGAGACTGTTAGACCTAGAACATGAAAAACATGAAAACTAGAAAGTCTGATCCAAGATCCAGGATGACTGTGTTCTGATCAACAAATGCAGCATTATATGCTTTGATGAATTTTATATTTTATTGCAGCATTTCCCTGGCAAAGCAAAAAATATGATTTTATATAGTTTTCTTCTTACATGCCATTAGACAATTGTTTTACAGTAATTCAATACAGTTTGTGGCTGCCTCCAGACAGCTGAGTAATGGCCAAAGCATCAACAGCTGGCAAATGATTCTTTGGGATTTTTTTCATCCCCAAGCAGACTATTCTTTGAAGGATTCAATCAGTATAAAGTCAAAATGTCAAAGAAAGAAGCAGGTAAACTGTGACAAACTGTGATGTTGGCCTTAGGTAATCTGACTAGCTATTAATTCACAAAGCAGTCTGAAGAGATTTGTGATGCAAGCTGAATTCTGTCTAGACAGGGAGAGGAGTGTAAAACACATTAGCCAGACAGAACATAACAGTGACAAGAAAAAGCTGTTCTACAGTCTTTCAGCTGTATTAATTCATGGAGTATCTCTTCTTTAAAATTATTACTACTGATCTAGTCAGTACAGCTCACTGGATTTGCCTTGTAAGATTTTTAGTAACACTTGGACAAAAGCTGAAAGCTACTAAAGCTGTTCTACAACATAGTAGGACAAATATAGCATCTCAATAGAAAGTAGTTAAATAGTTTCATAGTTTCTAGGGTCAGAAGGGACCTGAGTAGATCATCTAGTCCGACCCCCTGCCATGGCAGGAAAGAGTACTGGGGTCAAATGACCCCAGCAAGGTGTACATCTAGCCTCCTCTTAAAGACGCCCAGGGTAGAAGCCAGCACCACTTCTCTTGGAAGTCGGTTCCAAATCCTAGCTGCCCTGACCGTGAAGTAGCGCCTCCTGATATCTAGCCTAATGAATGAAGTGCAGCTCAAATTTGAGTGTAACAATGGCACCATGGTGGTCAGTGTTCTTATACTCAGTCTTTGTTAATGTGTTCACCATCTGCATTCAGCAGCAGTTGAAATACCTGTTTGCTTTCAAGCCACTTCTTTTACATGTATTATCTTACCTCTTCCTAGAATCTGCATTGCAACATACAGCAACACAATGTATCCATGGTCTTTCTGGAACCAACTTAACTGTTCATTGTAAAGATGCTGTACTATTTCTAATGGCAATCCAAGAGTTGTTATTTCAATCTAAAATTTTCTCCACAGATTGGACAAAAATATCTTTTCTCCTGTTTTGACAAGTCCTACTGTATTGAGACTTATTTCTGTAAGAACATAGGAATGTAAGAACATAAGGAGCACCATGCTGAGTCAGAACAATGGTCCATCTAGCCCAGTATCCAGTTTCTGGCAACGGCAGGAGTGGACACTTTAGAGGGAGAACATATGAACAGAGCAGAGATGTTTAACTGGTGGCCCATGGGTTGCAAGCAGTTTGTAAGTGGTTACGATATGGCCTGTGAGCTCCTGCCTGGCTTGCACTCTGCCCACTGCTCTTGTTGCTGTGGTGTCTGCAGTCCCTGGGCTTCCCCTCCCTCCTACGGCTTCTGATTTCTGTCTGTGCTCCTGGGAGCAGGGTGATACAACAGAAGAGGGCCAGGCTGCTCAGGCTGTGCAGAAGGCAGAGGAGGAACCTGGGCTCTGGGTGCTGCATGATGCACAAAGGAGAGAGCCAAGCTGCTCATGTATTTGTGTATCGTGCATGTCTGGGAGGTGGGTCAAGGGTGCTAAATGTATGGTGGGGGGAATCCAGACTGCCTGTGTTGCAGGGCGGGTGGCAGGGAGGAGAGGCTGGGCTGTGCACATGGCAAGGGGGAGCTGTATTGTATGCACAGCAGGGGAGGGAGACCAGACGGGCAGCCTCCACTATGTGCACCCCCTAGGTCTGTGGCCAACCCTCTAGTGCTGGGAAATTGGACATCCCTGATCTAAAGGGGTCTGTCCAAACCCTCTTTTATCAGTTAGGAATCTAAATAGCAACTTGGCAGCATTTAAGCCAATATGTATATGATTTAGGAACAAGTTAAGTCTCTGAATTCATGGACTGATCCTTCAGTGCAACCTTGCTCCGATTCCTCCCAACAAAGGCAGGAAGGATGCCATACTTACCTTCTGGTACTAGTTCGTGAGTTTGCCAGAGTTGGGAGAAAGATGCAAGTGGCCCATGCAAGTAACAGTAAAGTAAAGGGGTCTTCAACCCCTGAGGCCACAGCCCAGAACTGGCCCATGGAACTATGTTATCTAGGCCATAGAGCTTCCCATAGGTCCAAAAAATTGGAGGTAGTGCAGAGCCAGGCTGAGGTGCCACAGGGCCCAATCTGGCTGCCTGGGTAGTGATCCAGTGACGCAAGGCTGCATAGGGCCCGATCCAGTCAAATGGAGCCCAATGCAGGTGCTGACCTTGCACAGGATGCAGCCTGCAGACTGGCCCAGCACCACTAATCCAGTCCATGGGGATAAAAGTTTGAGCACCACTGGCACAGTATAAGCAAGAGAGCTGGGAAAGGGATTGGGTCTCTTCAGTCAGAATCACTCTTATTGTTTCCATTATACATTTCATTTACCACCACTATTAGTAGCACTTTCTAGCTCTACCCTTGATTTTAGCTGGCACCACCATCACCGTTGTTAAGCTCTGCCACAGATCTTAAAGCACTTAACCTTAAAGAAGGTTAATAGTTATAAATTGGGAGGCTGAGGCACCAGAAAGGCAACTTACATCATCGACTAAGAAAGACTAGAGCCAAAAATTGAGCCCAGGCCTCCTGAATCCCAATGTTCAATTCATTAGGACACACTGCCTTCTAAATATAAAATACTTAGCTCATAGCAACATACATCTTCATTGGGCAGGTAAAGGTTGCTAAAAATAGCTAAAGACTTAAGCACATAGGCTTGATAAAATGATTTTAACTAGAAACGAAAAAAGCAAAGGGGAGAATTACTGGTAAAGTACAGACTGCCTAAACTCTTCTTCTCTTACGTTTTACTCATTTCAAAAACTTTCCAACTTGCTGAAGAGGAAATGGGATAAAAGTCATAGTAGGAGATACAAGCCAGGTAATTTGGTAGTTGAGAAATTGCTGTTAATATTGATATAGACACTTAATAAGGGTACTGTTTTCACAGTGTCTGGTGGGTTAGATGTGGGAAAACAGAATGTAAACTGTTCCTGACTAGAAGAGAAAATTAATTCATTTTTTCCAAAGGATCTAATTTCTCTGGTCTGCTTTGTTTCATAATGTCTAAAAAGCAGTAAATTGGGCACACTCAATTTACTAAGTAGCAAGCCATCTATTATGGAGAAAACTTTCAAGTGTTGTAGAAATTTAGGAGTACAAATTTTTTGCGCTCACCAAATTTCAACAGGATTTGCGTTTCTAAATCCCTTTTGAAAAGCCATTTTTGAAATTTTCCTGTTATGAGCCCAAATAGTTAAATATCAGTCATATTCTACAACAAAAAATGCACACCACATTACTCCCTAGATATCCAAAGGCTTCAAATATTCTGAAACAAACTGGGTACTGTAATTTATAATCCTAAACCAGGGACATTAGTTAAAGATTACATACTAGGATAGCCTATATTTGTTGTTATGTAGTCGTATTTGTAATCCTTTAAAGTCAGGGTGTGAAATGTATGGCTGTATTATCTAGCCTATGGAGCTTGTTGAGGGGTGAGGCAAGTGGAAGCAGGGCTCATCACCAAAGTCTGGGGCACAGAGCCTCCCTGGGGATGCATATCAGTGTCGGGAGGGCATGAGACACGGCTGAGGTAATCCCCGCTGCTGCTGCTTGCCCCACTACTACATCCAGTTCTGGACTACGAGGCTTCCAATGGTCCAGATCCAACCTAGAGGGTAGGGTGAGTTTGACACCCTGGTCTAGAGGGACTGGTTTGATGAAACATACTGAATTCCAACATTCTTTTAATTCCATTGTGTCTCATGATCCACATTTCAGGCCTCTTTAAATCAAGGCATGCAGAAGAACCATAGAAAATGAGTATACTTATTTTATGATGCCATCTGTCACTCAAATAAGTGGTTGGGCTGTATGTTGCAATTGTACACACTCCCTTCTTCTACCCTGATAATTAATAGTGCTTTTCTGGTCCAAAAAAAGAGAGCATTAAAAAAAAGAAAATACCATAGGCAAGTGTTCTGCTGAAGAATACGATAGACTGGTGGAAAAGTGAGAAAAAGAACACAATTACCTCTCCATTACCTTTCTCTTCTGCGAAAAGCCTAGTGAGAGAAGACTGTACCCATCCCTGTGTAAGCCCTCACCCTTTCAGAAAACTTCTTCTCTGTCTTACTTGTTACCCACTAACCCATCTTCTGCTCTTCTGGTTTAACTTAGGAAAGCAGTAGCACCAAGCAGCACATGAAAACACCCTATACGCTGCTTGGCGATACTGAATAGAAGCAGACTTGCTCTGCATTCTCTCTCAAGACCAGAAGTTCCCTATGAGCCAGCCAAATACACTGTAGTCTCTAAGGGTTGAAAAATATCCAGTCACACCAGAAGCATCCCCGTAGACAGTAGGTGACCATACATACTGAACCACAATTCACTATATAAGCACTAAATGAACCACAGTTCACTACAAAGTTGTGATATTAGTGGTAGCATTTAATTTAAAAAGATGAAAAGAGGCAGTAAAGAAAAAAAATGTACACAGAAGTGTTTGTGCCTGATGAGTTCTAAGAATTTTACCTTGTGAATATTCTTTAAAGTTTCACTGGAATGAGGAATGCTTGCATGAGCCAACTCTGCTTACATTTAGTACAGCTCACAGCTGACAAGCTCAATTAGGGAAACTAGCATTTAGCAGTCTAGTATTACAAAACTATGCCAGTAGAATTTGGGTGATGGAATTTTGTGGGAGCGGTTTTTTCCTCATTAGCTTGCAAATTGCTCATATTTTGAGAATAACACTGGCTTAAGGATTTAGTCAGTGAGGCCCTCCACATTGGTCTGAATGGAATTTACTGTTTAACTAATAAAAGAATTGATGTCTAGTACAGTGTAGAGGATGAAGCCTGTGATAAAGAATAGGTTGTCTTTAAGGGAGTTTCGTATTACCAATACTTTGCAGAAACATTGTTCTATTTATGGCTTCACTGCAAACACAGAGAGCTAGTGAATTAAAAGATTATTTTTTCATACATTTCTTACCAGGTTCTGCTGCAGATCGTGGCTCTGCTTATCACATCATGCAGGCAGGAAATAAACAAGAAAAATGCATTAGAAAAAGGTTACGTTAATAAAGAAAGAAGTTTAATTTTGAAATACTGCAGGAAATACACTGTCTCTGGCAATGATATCGCCAGAAAAAAACATACGTCAAATGTCCATGCTGTCTGTATTCTACAGTTATTCTCTTTGGTCTCCATTATGATAACTCAGATGAGTAGATAAGAGATTTTCTTTACCTAAAATTCAATTCTGATGGTGGAGAATGATAACTTTCCCTGGCTGAGTTTAGATCCATGCTGTTTTTTGGATAGTACCAATATTAACTTTGGACTTGCAAGGGGTCTGTGTCTTACTTTTCTGGAGAATTCTGAAATCTGGAGAATCTTGGATTTCCATGTCTTGCCGAAACCACTTGACGTGCACAGGAGGTGTTCCCCTGACTCTACACTCTAGTACAACCACCTGCCCTTCAGATGCTGTGGAGTTTTGCAGCTCCTGGAATATGATAAATATGATTTAAGTCAACCAAAGACACTATTCCCCCATACTTCAAAAACAGTCATATCAAACTTCCCTTCCTCACTCATTCCCACTTTATTTTGTTGAGTCATAACACTTCGGTAATTTTCTTTTTCTGCATACTGTTTTCTCATACAGAAGGTGCTTAAATACAGTGGTTATGTTATTTTAAATACATTTTTAATGTTGCTAGAGTGGATGAAGTGCACCACTGGTTACAGAAATGTGTTCCTCTGAAATCATCATCCAACTTAACTTCTCTCACCACTGACAGAAGTAAATGCTTCTGGATGTTCTTCTAGTCTTTACTTCAGGTGTGAAATGAAGGGGTTGGAGCCAGCCTATACTTTTTAAGGAGATGGTTTTATATATTGGCTAAGTTGGTCATTTTGGAGTAATTATACTATTTTCAGGTAGACATCTAGAATGTGAAAATGTTATTCTGGAACATCTGAAGCATTGAAGCAAGATGAGAGTGCAAACATGGTTATTCAATGTGTGTGTGTGCAGCCAAGTCATAAGACAAAGCATTAGCCTGCAAGACTACAATGGAATAGAAATAATGTGTGCACTTGAACTGCTACATATTGGATGCATCTACACATGCAATTAGTGTACCTCAATGAACTCTGGTGCAGTTTTCCAGGACTGCAGCAGTTTGAGCTGGGGCAGAGTAGCCCCAAGTTGGCAGCAGGCTCAGGGGGTCATCCCTGCACTCTGGGTCATGGCATTGGGTGT